AAGCAACTCGGCAATCAGCTTATTAGCAGAGTCAGACAGCCATTCTAGGATTCCTAGCAGCTTACAGGTCTCCTACTAGGTAATAACTGTCATATTATTATTTTTATATTTATCTAGCAGTGCAAGGGTGTCTTTATAGCTAGCCATTATAGCCCAAGTCTTAATCTTCTCTTAGGTTTCTTTAAACAGGACTGCAATAATTTTTTCCACTAACTTATAGTGTAACTAGGCATTAGTAATTATATTCTATTTCTCCATCAGTACCTTTTAAAGATCTTAGGCCACTTTCTGCTCTGCTTCTATCCAGTTAAGACTCTTCATTATGTGTTAAATAATAGGGGGTAGTAGAGTTAGCTAGCGCAGCCTAGTCTAGATTAATTAAAATTATTAACAGCATTCTATAATACCCGCCATATTTTAAACCGTCATGTCAACACTAACTTCATTATCTAACATAAATAACAGGTCGCTGTTATTAACTATAATAAGGTTCAGCTAAATTTCCCTATAAATTTAGTTTATTAGTTAGACAGGGTAGTTATTAGCCTTCCAGTTTATAATTAACGCATGGGCGAATTTAAACACCTTATATTTTATAATAATGTCTAAGGCAGTGTCATTCTTATCAGGCTCCAGGAGACAGAACTTGCAAACTATAATAGCACACACCACCGTCAGTGCATTAATAATATAATAACATCCAGTCACTTCTATCTAATTGCAAACTTTTTCCAGTTTTTCCTTACATACCTTATAACCACCCTATTTTAACTAGACAGTGGCTAGCAGGACGCCAGTCTTAACACACTTATTAATACATGCCTTAAAATAGTCTAAATATTTTTTATATTTAAGGTGAATAAGTTTAAATACACCCCTGACCAGTTTCTTAAAGTGAAGACATAGGTCTATAGTAGACAGCAAGACTAGCGCATGCTTACTAACATATCCTTTCTAATACTTCCTATAGGCCTTCTAAACAGTCTTAAGTTCCTAAGCAGTCCATCCCGCCAGCAGAGCCACTTTAATAATAAGGTTTAGTGCATTCTTCCTGCCCTGCAGTATAATAGCAGCTATTTTCAGTAGCCTGCCTTCTATACTAAGAGCGTTATAATATATATAGTAAGAAACGCAAGGTAAGAGGCAGATTAATTAAATAAAAGAAAGTAAAAAAACATAAAAAAGCAGACTAAAGAAAAGAAATAAGTAAGGGAACCTAAGGATAGTAAGAGCTATAAGAAAGCTTAAGTTAATTATAAGAACTAAGTAAATGCAGAGCAGGTCTATGCATTCTTTCACTTTAGTATATATATGCCTAGTTATTACCTTATCATTTTAATATCTTTCTACTAGGAATTTACACCTATATATTCATCTTTAGTATTTAATGCACCTTTATGCTCTTAAGGTCTAGAAGTAAGTCCCAGGTGGGCTTTCTTTACTTAAACTCCTGCACCAGGTCCTCTACTATCCACACTAGCTCTCTTCTCTTAACCTATTAATCATTATATAGGCCGCAACCTTTCCATCTCACCAGATACTTAATTTAATAATTCTTCCCTCTTTTATTTAATTGTTAGTTAACCAGCTTTTCCACCTTATATTATTCTTCCTTATTAACTATAATCCTTTCTAAAGGCAGCGCCTGTTAGTTAAAAGGATCTGGTGTTATTAGTGCTAGAAAGAGGTGTGTAACTAAGACCACATTATGTACCCTCCATTAAGGCAGAAGCTTAAGTTAGTAAGCCAGCAGACTAATGCATTTTACCACTTTAAATAGTCCTATGCATTAATTTAACCACTTACGTAGTAGCTTTCTAGGCAAGTGGTATCCCTTATACAGCCTTAGAAACACTCTATCTCTAACTTTAAACTTAATTAGGTTATAGTGTTAGTTATATACTTGCTTTACTATCACTAAAGCTCTCTCTATCAGGTGCTAGGCCTCTTGTATATATAATAGGCAAAGGGTGTTAACAGCTTCCTAGTCAAGCTGCTGATTTTTCTTTATAACATCTAACAGGCCGTTCAGTTTAAATCCCATTACCAGCTTGTTAAGTGACCGTCCTACTGCTATGCTAACTATATTATTAAGATAGAACTATAGCGCAGGCATGACTTCTAGCTATAGAATATCGCTAGTTATAGTATAATATTACAGCGCCATTTCCATAATCTAATTCTTAACTTCTAACATTCTATCTGTTTATAGATAGTATGCAGTTCTAACAGCCAGTCTAACCAAAAGTGCTATAAACAGGTACTTCTAAAATTCAGATATAAATTTTAAATCTCTATCACTAATAATTACCTTTAGTATGCCCTAATCATATAGAAGTAGCGCTTAGAGGAACACTATAGCCTATTATTAAGCTGTGTATTTTATTAATCTAAGTATTAAAAGTAACTTACAGCTTTATTTATAGGTAACCGTAAGCATAGCATTAAGCAGATAGTTGTAACTGTCTATCTTCTAAAATAATTAGGGTTCCTCCAGCAGCATACTAATAATAAAATCCATTATAACAGTATAGAATAGCTAAGCTGGCATTTAAATAGGTTACAATTTGCCTAAAGGTTTTGCTATATCTTTACAGTTAGTAAGACAGGTTAAATAATAAGCGATATACTATTATAACTGTCTAGCCAGTTATAAGATGCTAAAACCATCTAGTAAAGCAAGCGTCTTCTTTAATCCTAGATAGAACTGCACGTTATATGCTGCCTAGAATACTTCTTTAACGCAGTTAGATAGAATGCAGAGATAAGCTTAACCGTTATTATCTTTCTAATATATAAGCCCATTTTCGCAAAAGAAAGGCATATAGATCGGCTATTACTTCTAGTTATAGTAAGATATCGCTGCTAACTTATCCTTCCTAGCCAACTCTATTAATTTCGCCTATCTCTTTTTATTTTCTTTAACCATCTTTTAGATAGCGTTAAAGTGCTAATTATCCCTATATCCTTCTTATATTTTCTTCTTTAGATTATTAGTAACCAGGAGCTTTATTAACATATAGTATATATCCAGATCCTAGACTTTATTTAATTCACTCCTTCCTTCCTCCTTAGGTATATTAGAGTTTATAAGAAGTTATAAAAGTGCATCTAGAACTAGGTTAGTCTTGCCTAGGATATAGTAGACTTTAAGCTAGAATTAGCTTAGATAGATTAATACACCTATTAATTACTAATTAGCTTTTATAAGGTCTGCTGTAAATATAGTAGTATAGTTAATAATTCCTTTTATAGCTTAATAATTAGTTAGAATCTAGACCAGCTGCTAATATAACTAGATTATAGTTTGCATTTTCTTTACTGCCTAGACAAGATATACCACCTCTAATTCTATTAGTTTATATTATTATTCCGCCTTTAAAAGCAGCCTGCTAAGGAATATAATTAGCTGGATTTAGTTTACCAGTATTACTAAAGGCTCCCATTAATTAAGTTTAAGATAAAAGATAAACACTCCTAAACCTTAGCTACTTGCATCTAACTTAAAAAATATAATTCTTACTAGGTTATAATAATAGAGACATATACTAAGGGTTAAACCTTCCTGCAGCAGTTAAAAGGAGTCGCATTCTAGCTTTATAAGTGTAAAGATAACCTGTTATAACTTAAAATGTTATGCTTTTTTATTAATATTTATTATCTTTTGCCCTGTCTTCTGCAGGTCAGCAAGCAGATCTGTCTTCTATTTCTCTAATAGTTCGGCCTTTATTTAAAAGCAGTAGATAAATTATCTTAAGAACGTTACTATACTAAGGTATGTCTCTAAGTTAGCCAGATTAGCTAGTATTAAGATTTTCTTAATAGCTTTAATCTATTCACTTGTGGTTAATAAACCTAGAGCGTCCACCTTAAACCTAAGAAGCTGGACTAATAGGTAACCGCAAAAGGACTTCTTTAGCTATATTGCCAGCCAGATGTTAGAGAACAGTTAAAAGATAGTCTTTAAGTGCTGACAGTACTCCTTAAAGGTATTGCTAAAAATAACCACATTATTAATATAGGCTTAGGTAAAAGACTTAAATAGGTACAACCGTTAGTCTATAAATCTCTAAGTAAATGGCAGTAAGTTCTAATATCCCATTAAAACCATATATAACATTTCCAGCCCTTATAGACTAATCAGTACTATATAATCCTTATGTTTTAAATAGACAGGCAATTAATAAAAAAAGGCTAACGCATCTAATACTATAATATATTTCTTGCCTCTTAGGCTACTAATAATCTCTTCCTGTAAAGGAATAGGGTATATATCTAGAATGGCAATCTTATTAAGTGATCTAAGATCCACTACCATTCTGCCTTTTTTCTTTCCGTTAACTGTCTGCCAGATAATAAAGATAGGGGAGGCTAGCGGAGTGGGTTAGCGCATCCACAACGCTCTGCTTTATGCATAAAGGTCGTCCAGCACCCTATCCATAAACTTATAATCCTCCACCCCCAGCAGGTAGGGACATGTTAAGGTCTTAAAGGTCTGCCAGTTATTAATAAGTAGAATCTTCATTTTCTTATCTTCTAGTAATAGAATAATACCATAATCGCGCCAGATATCATATTCTTTAACTATTTTCTATAGTAAATCGGCCTCCTATAGATCTTCTGCACACACTCTAACTCCATTCGTTAATACTCACTCCTGCATATCAGTGGGTTTTTTTATCTATCCCTGCTTCTCCTGCAGTGCCTCCACTAATATATCCGCCAGCTGCTTCTAGATCTTTTCATCAGTTATTATAAAAATATTCTAGAATACTCTATTAGCATTAATATCCTAGGAGGTATTATCTATCTAACATTCCCATAGGGCACGCGCCTAAGTATATAAGATAGCAGAGTACACTTCTATATCACAATCTATTATTATTCTAATCTTCTGCTTATAATAGAAAGTAAGAGAAGCGTCTGTCATATTCATAACTAGTACCTAACTGCTTAAGTTATCCGCATATATCACCAGCATTATACAGACATAATTAATAATGCCAGGTGCTATAGCTATAAAATAATATATTCATACATTATTATATTCATCCCTTAACACTAACAGTTTATAATAAACTAGCATTCGCACCAAGGTGTAAAGGCATACAGTTATTTAACCACTAACCACCACCTAATAGGTAATCCTGTTTTATTTACAATAACTTTTAATAAGGATATAGGCGCTATAGGCCGCCCTAACCGTTATATAATTGTCAGCAATAAGCAGGTTTATTCTATACTAATAAAGAAAATTAATGCCTAGCAGGATGTTTAGCTTTAGGTTTTTCTTTAGCCATCCTTTTATATAAAAGTGTATATTAACTAGTATGCTATCTTTTACCCTGCAGATATAAAAGTTAAACCTGGCTTTCCGCATTATAATAACCTTTCTATCTGCATAATTTATAACATTTAGCATATTAGCGTTAAAGTATATAGTATTTAAGGAGTATTTATAAAGCCAATCTTCATCCATAATAACTTCTAAACATCCCAAGTCCACTGCAACTGTTAATTCCTCAGAGTCTAGATTAAACTAGATTTTTATCTTTATATAGGTATATTAACTTAGCGCATCTTCCTTAAATAGTTAAGCTTCTACTACTTATCCTAGTTAGAACTTCAGTCTAGAGTCCAGTTATTAGTGTCTGCATTTATTAAAGTAAATATGGCATATCAGTTAAAAGCGGGAGGGAAATTTCTTCTAGTATTTATAGCATGCATGCTTCTGCAGCTCTAGGGTCAGTTTATCTATTAATTTCTATTATTAATATAGTTAAAATAGTAAGACTGCCTTTTTATTTTAGCGCTTGCCAGACTAATTTAACATCACAGAGGGTTTATAAACAAAGTAGGTAGAAGTGGTCTTATTCTCAGCTACATCATCCTCATAGTCAGACTGCTTAAACTCCTTAATTATCTAGTATCCCTAGGAGTTAAGTTCTGCTTCTAGCTTATCCACCACTAGATCCTTAATATTAATATAAATATCCTCTATCTAGCCAGCATATACAGCATCACTTAAGAACCTTAACTAACAGCAGTATTATTATTAGTTTTAGTTTCTAGGTCGCCTATTCTAATACTTTCTATCTCTCCAGAATTATTTACGTCTAGCATCTCTATAGCCGCGCCTGCGTTAATTTTGCCTAAAGTTATTACCTCCTCTGCTATACTAAAAAGGAGCTTATCCACTACCTACATATAGACAAAACTAAGTAGTACCCCCTTACATATTCAGTCTGTAGTTCTGCTAACCAGTTAGCGGCTGATTTACATTTTATTATCCTGACTGGTTAGCACCATAGTAGGTCTTGCTGTCTATAACTTCTTTAAAGGAGACTAATAGGAGGCTAAGCAGATGCTTATTACACAATAGTTAAGTGGTCTACAGTATGTCAGATTACTGACCAGAACCGCCTGTAAGTACTGCCATCCTAGCTTACTGCTTATCCCTAAGATGCTTAAGATAATTATTCTTTAATATAGTAGGGTAGGGCTTAAAAACCAGTTTATATAAAGCAGGACTAATATAAAGGTACAGCTAGGTAAGTTATTAGCCTGTTATAGTAAAGCCTGCTGCAGTAGCCAGGCGGAAAAATTTCATAGCCCACGGATAAATATTAACTCTGGCTTAACAGTCCTTATCTATATACCATTATTTAGCAAGTTAGTCCACTGCATTAACTTAATCCAGCTAGAATTGCTTTATTAATGCAGCAATCTAGTTATTAACAGATCCTTTAATTTAAAGTTTCTCCTGTAAGAGTAAGAGGGAGCCCTATTAATAAAGTGCCAGTTTATAAAAGAGCTACGGCAAGTTAAGGGCAATGTGGCTGTAACGTTTATTAGTAGTAGCATTATCCTAAATGCTTTTAACAAACTGTTTAACTATATTCCAGACAACTGTATTACTGCTAACAGCATTATCCTCAGCGCCTGGGTTAAAGTACCTAATGTAAGTAATCTTCTAGAAGTCTTTAATACTATTTTAAGTGGCACTTTAAACGGCTATAGTATCCAGGAGGCAACCAAACAGATAACTAAACTATTTATCTAAAAGAGTGACTAAGAGAGTAAGGATATTAATGCCTTCTAGGGCAGGTATAGCCGCTATCTTAAGGGATATTAGAGATAGTAACACAGAGGGCGACAGAGTAAAGGGGGACAGTATCTGCACGCAGTTATCTAGCAGTTCTAAATTACAAATATCCACCTCCCATATCATAAACAACAGTTAGCAAGGCAGACTTACCTAAACAGTAACAGACTAATACTAAGGTTAGGAAACAGATCTAGGAGGAGGTAGGGAAAGTAAGATCTAAATCTTTATAAATATACATTTAATGCCTAAGGACTAAAGCGGGGTAGTAGGCAATAACATAACATTATCAGCTATCTCAGAAAGAACGCCAAAATTATTAAGCAGATCCTTTAAAAGGCCTTCTAAGCAGGAAGGAACAGTTAATAACGCTTATCCTATCACCCGCAGTTACCCTAGTTATTTAGTAATACATCTTGTCAGTAAGGCTAGTGTTTAAAGGAGGAGATTATCCACGCCAGAAATAAGGTTTAGAATCAACAGTAAGCTTTCTAGCACCGCCTATCATTACTAATGCTAGACAAACTGCTAGAAGTTTTATTTAGCATGTCATCTATTAACCCACTTAAAAGGGTAGGAGGTAAGCAACTTACTAAGAGTGGTAATATCTACAATATAGGTAAGTGATATAATATTATCTTCTATTAAATAGTTAGTATGTAGATAGCCAGTCTTAAGGAATAACAATATGCAACAGCTTATGCAATATAGTTATTCTAACACTATATAAGGCAGAGGTTAACAACTAAAGGTTAATAAAAGACGCATTATAGCAGGTAGACTAAAACAAATTAATAAAGGAGAGGAACAGACAAATAAAAGATAAAGAAAAAAAGTTAAGGACTAGCTTAACCATCTATCTCAACAGCTAGACAGAACTCCATCTACTAGCAGACTTCTAGTGCGAAAATTTACAATAGCAATAGGCGCAGATTATAGTCTGCAATTACTACCACTTAGTATGCCAACAGATAGTGTGAAAAAGGTTAATTCTCTCTCTCTACCACTATGTGGAGAGATAGGCTTTTATACCCATAGACTAACTGACTAAGCAAGGCTAACATACTGTATATACTATCAGGCTAACGTACTGAACCTAAGGCCTATGGCCTTCTATAATTATTTATAAATAGCTAGGAAAACTTAAAAATAAGGGATAAAAAATAAAAGTATACTATTTATTAAAAGGTTTTAGCTTTAGTCTTATACTTAAGGTTTATAAAAAAGCAAGGTTAATAAAGATTTTATATATCCCTTTAGCTATATAAAAATTAGTAAAGCTTTTATATATCCCTTTAAATATAAAAGATTTAATAAATTTTATAAAGTAAGATTATATACTATTACCTTAAATAGTAGAATTATATATCTTTATATTCTTAACTATATTAATATTTAATAATATTAATAATATTAATAATATTAATCCTTATAAAAGCTGCATATACTTATATATATATAATAAAAAGCAAGTTATTATAATACTATTACTTTAACTAAATAAATAAATACTTAGTATTAAATACCTTTTTATATATAGCTTTAAGTTTATACTACTATTTATAAGCTTCTTTATAATATATATAGCAGTATAATATATAAGTTAAATAAAGGCATATTATAATAGTATTAAACACTAGGCATGCCTATATATTAAAGTTAGAATTAGCTAAATAATTAAAGTTATTATTCTTATTTTTATTTTTTTTTTTTTTTTTTTTTTTTTTTTTTATTTTCTTTTTCTTTTTTATTTTTATCTTTATCTTCCTTTTATTATTATTATTATTATTACCTTTATTATGCCTTTTAAAAAAGCTAACTTTAAGAGTAAGGGCAAGGCCTTTACTAGCAGTATAGTTTATATTTTTAAACCTTTAAAAGCCTTTTTTTATATTTTATAGCACTAACTTGCTTTTAATATAAGAAAAATTAAAAGATAATACAGTCTTAAGTTAATAAAAACAGCGCTAGCTTATTAATAGCAGTAATAATAGCAGCAGCCTTATAAGATTTATTATATAAAAATTATATTAAGAGTATTATTATTAGTAGGAGTATTATTATAAATAATAAGGCAACTTCTTTTAATAAATATATAATTTTACTTAGCGCCTTTTAATAATATAAGCTTTATTATAAAGGCAGCTATAAATATAACTCTTAATAGGCTTATTTTCCTTCCCCTTTTCTCCTTTTATATTAATTAAATATATAGCTATTATAAGCTTATGCCTTTTATTTAATAGTTAAATTATGCCCTTAATAAAAATAATAAAAAGGTATTTTTTTTATTTTAGCTTCTTATACTTTATACTAATTATAAATTAAGTAATAAAGTAATGCTATATAGCCCTATATCTTATATTTAATATACTTAATAATAATAATCTAGCGCTAGTAATAAATAATAATAATATTAATAATAAAGTAAGCTGCATATAGGCTTATAAAGCATAAAAGACTATTATTAATTATATTTTCTAAAAATAAGTACTAGCTTTAAAAAAAAAGTATAAGTATTTTATATTATAATTTATTACTTTTATTATTATTCTTAATATTATGCATTTTTATTTATATAAAATAAAGGCACTAAATTAATTATACTTCTTTTATATTAAGATATCTTAAACTTAATAAAGCCTATTAGGCTAAGTAGTATAAGTATTTTAGGAGTTATAAAAGGTTTTAGGTTTAACTACTATTAATAGTATAATATAGCTAGGTTTATATATTTTTACTAAAAGTCTTTTAAATATTAAGAGGCATATAAATAAAAATAAATAAATAAATCTTTTTTTTTTCTTTTTTTTTTTCTAGTTTATAGCTTAAAAAAGCTAGCTATACTTATATTTTTAAAAATATACTTAATCCTAGCCCTTTACTTAAAACTCTTTTTTAATATAAGGATTAGGCAATCCCTTTAATTTTTAGTCTTAATTTTTAAGTTAATTAGTGCCTTTTATTAGTTAACTATAAAAAAGGCACTGCCTTTTTTTTATAAAAATATCTACTAGAATTTTATTTTTTTACTTTTTTATTAGCCTTTTCCTTTTTCTTATAATTTTCTACTACTTAAAACTACTTAAGCACTCCCCTTTTATTTTTATAATTATATATATACCCCCCTCTTAATAAAGTATTACTTTAAATACTTCCCCTCCTTTATGCATTTTCCTTAAGTATTTTACTTAATATTTTTAACCTTTAATTATATATGCCTTTATATATACTTATTAAAAGCACTTTAAATAAGGAAAAGATTAAGAAAATTTATTAAAATATTTTTTATTAATATGCTATATAAATCTTTTTATTAAAAAGAAATTTTTATAAAGGGGGCAGTATACTAGTTTTTTTATTTAAGATTAAATATTTAGTATATATATCTTACTATAGGTTTACTTAATATAATTACTTTAAGTATATAAATTAGCCTTAATTTTAAACTTACCTAATTTAAAATGCTTATAGACTAGGCAGAAAAAAGGTATTTTAAAATTATAAATATTATAAATATATTTTATTAATAAAAACCTATTAGTAAATATACTATAGTTAAAAAGGCATTATAGCTACTTAAATACTTAAGGTTATAAAAGTTAAGTAATAGCAGTAATATCCTTATTACCCTTTAGCAGCTATTCTCTTAAATATATTATAAGCTTATTAAGGAGTATTATAAAAGGCAGTTAGTTTATAAGCAGTAAGAAAAGTTTCTTAATATTACTATTACTTTATTAAAAAAGGACTTATTATAAGCTAGTAGTAAGAGGATTATATAAGTATATTATTAGTTTTTCTTATACTTATAATTAATTAACCTTAGTAAAATAGGTTTAGTATTTTTAAATTAATAAAAGTTTTTTTAAGCAGTTATTAATTTATTAAAGTTACTTTTAAATCTTCCTTTCCTTTTTAAATTTTAAATTATATTTACTATATATAGTAATTAACTTTTATCTTAAAGCTTTTATATCTTCCTATTTCTTAAATATATTCTATTTATACTTAATAATATAAAAAGGGGCATAAAGGTCTTATTATAAAAATACTTAAAATATAACACTTTATAAGGCATTATTTTATTATTTAAGTTTACTAAAAGTAATTTATAATAGCTTATTTTATATTTAGACTAGCTAATAAAATCTTTTAAAGACCTTTATTATATATAAAAGTATATAGTTTTAAATAGCTAAAGTTAAGCTTCTTATTATAAAGAAAAGAGTATTAGTAATAAGAAAAATAAATAAATTACTATTAAAATTAACCTATTATTAAGCTAGCCTTTAGCGCTAACTTTTAATATATATAATTATTTTCTTTTATAAGACCTTATAATAAACTATATATAGTTTTAAATATTTAGAAACTTATTATAAAATATTAAAATAATTACTTTTTTCTTTTTAAAAACTTTATTACTTTATTTAAGCTAGATGTAATTTATACTACTTTTAAAAGGTTTAGGCTATAGGACCTGTTTATATAAATAATATTAAGCTTTAAAAGTATTATTAATAATAGCCTAGGCTATAAGAAAAGTAATAAAATAAAGCAGTTTATATAAAATAAGTATTATAAAAAAGTGCAGTTTATATAAGTAAGAAGATATTAGCTTAACTAACACTTAGTTAAAGGAGGGCATTATAGGTAATATTACTTAAAGCGTTAATCTCTTTAAATATAATCCTTCTTTTACTTAATATAGTAAATAGTAATAAATACTACTAGCTAGGTCTTAGTTAAAATATTTAAATCTTTAACCTAAGTAAGCTTAATATTATTATAAAGGATATTAATAAAACTGCTTAGCCTTTAGCTACTAATATTACTTAAAAGTATAATATAGTAAAATATAAGGTATATATATAGCCTATAAGATATATATTTAGTACTTATTTAAACTATATTAAAATAAAAGATTATATCTTTTACTATTATTTTAAATTTCTTAAAACTTTACTTAAGGGAAAGACTAAGTTTATAAGCTAGATATAAAATCTATTAAGCTTATTATAACCTATTAATGCTTTATTAATTATTTTAAGTAATTAAAAAGGAGTGTAAAATAAATACTTACTTAAGTAATTTTATATATTAGACTATAACTATAATTAATATTTTAAAATAAAAAAAAAAATACTAAATTAATACTTTAGCTAAATCCTTACTTTACTTTACTTTTAATACCTTACTATTAGCTTTATTAATAAAAAGAGTTTATATATCTTTAACTACTAAGGCGCTTTAAATAGTTTATACTTTTATATACTTTTTTAAACTTAAATATAAATATTTTATAACTAAGCCTTTAATATATATTTTAAGAAATATTTAAAAAATTAATTAGACTTGCTTTATATTAATATAAAGATTAATTTAAAGGCTATTAAGGTCTAGATTTAGATTTAAAGTAAAGCTAGATAATCTTAATAATTAGCACCTGCTTAAAAGCAGCTAGGATTTAAGTAAAAAGGAGTAGTGTTATACTATTTCTAATTCTTTTAAATTTTATTATAGTGCTTTTATATATATAGGTTTATATATAAAGCTTTATTAAGTAGGCTTACCTAGTATTATATAAAGGAAGCTAAAGCAGCTTCTTTATTAAAAGCCTATTAGTAAGGTTATTTAAAAAGATAAGGTCTTATAAAAGGACTAGGATAATAGTTTAAAAAAGCTAGATTAGTAATAGTAGCTATAATAATAACTAAAATAAGAACTTATAATAGTAAATATAAAAGTAAATTAAAAAAAAAAAGTAAATTATAATAAATAATATATAAAAGGTTAATATAGCTTATAATAAATAAAAATATATAAAGCATAAATTATTAAAAAGTACTAGAATTAAATAAAATATATATACTTATTTATTTAAAAATTAAAGGAAAGGCTAGTAGTTATATAAAGGGGGGGGTATATTAGCAGCTAAAAAAAGAGAAGTAAAGCCTTATAAAAAATAAAGTTAGCCTTAAAAAGCATTTACTTTATTTCTTATTAAGTAATAGAGGGCTAAATTAGTAGAATTTTAAGAAGGTTTAATAACTAGAGGGGGTTCCTTATCTACTCTTTTATAAATAAGCTACTAACTAGCAGATTAATAGTTAAGTGGGTGACTACTAGTAAACACTGGCTGTTATATATTTTTAACTTTTCTTTTTATTTTTATTCTTTTTAGTTTTACTATATATAAAAGATGTTGCTTCTGTTTTTACTTAAACATGGGATGTGTGCTATTATAAAGGGGGTGAGGGGCTTAATGCATGTACAGGGGCCCCTGTTCAGTCCTCCAAATCTCTAATATGGATAGTAAGTAAGCTACGTGGAGTACTAGGGCCCTAAAAGCCGGTCTATTAGTAGTATATTAATGGATGTCAATAATATACCTCGACTCTTTGACTTTAATATAGGTACCGTACCTATAAATGTGCATGGACATAATGGCCACTTAATGTCCTTGAGGTACACAACCCTTTGGTACGTATATAACTAGGCAATTCTACTGGTCCTTCTATCGAAGTCTCCAGTGAACTTAAGGCTGTGTTATAAGCTGCTATGGCAGCTGACATGTCCCGATTGTTGGAGAACAGTGCAACTGGTTGCTAATCACATATATAGGCCAAAAGATAAAGATGGCAGTGGGAATTAAAAACAAAATGAGTATGAAGAGATTTAACCAATGTCATAAACTACTCAGAAACCTAGTTAGAGAAGTAGATTTGGTTCTTGATATACAGTTAGTTCGAGAGCGTTATATGAGAAAAGGCCCTTGTCACTGCCAGAGGCTCATCTCATGATGCAGTTTTGTCAGCCATCAAACCGAAGAGTAGAACGGGTAACTACTTATAAATTGGGGTAGTAAATCTGTTACCGTACTTATACTGCCAGTTCCTTTCAAACAAGTCTATCACGGCTTTCGATCACAACGCTGCTTGGGGCGGATGCCTCGATGTCTCCAACGGTCGTCTTTATTTTCTTTTGTCAGGAGGCACATTGCCACATCAAAGAAGGAATGAGGCTCCGCCCTCTAACTTCCAGTCGCCTATAACTCGATCCGGCATGGCTTTGTAAGTGGGTTTCACGTCTCTTTGTTCACGCAGTGTACTCTCCAAGTTCCTAGTCTAGTCTATCAAATCCTCAAGAGGTGCGCCTCTCAAGCAAACGTCTTATCAACTGTTAGGCATCTACTCTGGAGGCACATAGCTCCCCCAGAGGTTCCCCTGATTTCCAGGTTACAGCACCGACCGTCTCCTGTATTCTCAAAACTAGACAGCAACATGAACAAGGCATGCGTCAACGGTCATGACGGAGTCGTGCAACCACCACCGCTCGACCGCTTCCAGCATGGCGTGCTGATAGCCACGGAGCGAGGGGAGCGAATTGCCTGGCCAAGCGAGGAGCAGAATCCGGCTAAGCTGAAACCTTCCGCGAGTGCCAATTACTAGACACAGATTAAGCCTCCGGGCAGCTCGAGTCTCCAAGGTTCGTCAGTGCTATCCTCTGTCGCCAGGGAAAGGCTTGATCCCAATGTCCATGGGTCAAGCAGTAATGTCAGGCACTGAAGCATGTAATTAGACGAGCATGAACCGGCAAGAGTCGGATGATTGCTTCATCCTTGATGCAGACGTGCGCTCGTCACATATGTTTGAAGTCCTCGTCAAGCCACCACGCCAGGAGAGATTATATTTCCCAACAGATCCTTGGGACAGACAAAGTTCTCCGATTCCTCGACGACGCCATTGCTAGGCATGTCGATGTCCATTGTTTGTTGACCGAAATCACACCGAGGGGGGCTGAGAAGCCAATTCAGGGCGAGATCGCCTCTGTTTTCCCGTCTCCCATCTCAAGCAGCCTTGAACTTTAAGAGCGTGGCTGATCCCGTAGCTCGCATCCAGCCCAATATAAATTGGCCTGGATCCCCCTGTTTCCTCCAAATTTCCAGCAGTTTACGGCGCACTCTTCGATTCATTTACTTAAATTATTAAACACTCGCAAAGTGCGCATCTAAACTAAACGATACACAACTCCAAGCACAAGACCATTCAGAGTCTCACAATGGCTTCCAGCAAGTCACGGTCCATCTCAAATATCTTATTCAAGGCTTCAGCTAACATCTTCCAAAATAGAACCAGCAGACGTCCGACCAATCGTCATCTCGGGCCCTTCAGGCGTCGGCAAGGGGACCCTGATTCAAATGCTCCAAGACGCACATCCCGGCGTCTTCACAAGAACAGTCTCCCACACCACGCGTAAACCTCGCGTCGGCGAGGTAGAAGGGGTCTCCTACTTCTTCGTACCGGACGGCAGATTTGGAGCAATGGTCTGGAACGACGCATTCGTCGAATATACCTTCTTCGGCGGCAACTCCTACGGCACCAGCCAGCAGAACCTCGAAGACCAAATGGCAACAGGCTTGGTGGTGATCCTGGAGGTCGACGTCGAAGGGGTCAAGCAAATGCGCCAGGCTGGGACGGTCGACGCTCGTTATATCTTCATCAAGCCGCCGAGGTTTGATACACTGGAGACGCGGCTCCGGGGACGCAACACGGAGACTGAAGAGAGCATAGAGAAGAGACTTGAGCAGGCAACGCGCGAGCTTGATCAACTAGGCTACTACGACATGGTTATCATGAATGATGATCTCGCTGAGACATATAAGAAGCTTGAGGCGTTTATTTGGGGATCAACAACCAGATGAGCTCAAGTCAATGGCTTTTGTATCGGATAGATCAAAGGACGTCTATAGACAGAACAGCCGTTGATGTTGGGCTCTCAGAGTACACTAGGTATATAGAGAATAATAGGAAGAGTTGCAAACATCTCAAAGAGGGCTTCCGTAGCTCAGTTGGTTAGAGCTTCGTACTAATACTAGAGCTTCCACAGCTCCAATATTGGTAATGCGAAGGTCGCAGGTTCAAGCCCTGCCGGGAGCAAAACGTCTCACGATGCCCTTTCGATTCTTTTTTTGCTCGTTTCTTCACCACTTTTTTGTCACCACTTTTCAGACAAAACTTTTTGTGTGTTCTTGTTTTAGCTCTGTTTCTTAGCGCAAACACGTGGAGACGGTCAAACACTTTGCCTTTTCCAGGCGTTTCCTGTTTAGGATTTAGATCCAGTGCCCAGGCACGCTTGCAGGGGGAGGGGAGGCTGTCGAAGGAAAACACCAGGCTAACACGCTGCATTCAGTTGCGTTGCTACTGTTAAGTGGTCCCCACCTTAATAACTCAGGACCACTCTATAATACCACAGGCCTTAGGCCTGTAATATATTTATAGCTATTTATTTATTTTCCTTCTCTTTCTTTTTAGCTAGTCTTTTATAAAAAAAGAGAGTTTATAGTTGCCCTTTATTAAGTTATAAGCCTTATACTTTTTTAAAAATTATAAAAAAGATATATCTAAACCTTTAAGTTAGTAATAAATAATACTATTATTATTATACCTTTAACTTAATATAGGTTATACCTTTAATTTAATATAAATTACCTTTTTTTTTAATTTAAGAGATTAACCTTCTTTTTCTTTTTTATTTATAAAGACTTAAAAACTTTATTTTACCTATATATTAATAAAATAATTATTACTTAACCTTTTAAGCTAAAATAATTTTAAATTTATTACTAAAAATAAGGACTTTAATTATAATAATCCTAACTTAAATTTATAAATAATATAGCTTAAAATAATATAGCTAATATTTATAAAAAATAATACCTTTAAGGCTTTATAAGCTAACTTCTTTTTTTTAATAATATTATTAAAAGGCCTTAATAACTAGAATACTTAAAAATAAATATTTAAAATTAATATATACTTAATAGGCCTTTAAAGTATTATTAAAAGGATAAATATTATAGCTAAAAAAGCTACTTAAGCTAAAAAGAATACTTAAAAAGAAAATAATATACTAGCTATAGGATTTATTTTAAATAACTTATTAATAAAAATTTATATAAAGCTTAATTATAAAGGCTTTAATAATAATAATTTAATAATAAAAAAGCTTTTTAAAATAATAAAAACTATTATTTTAAAAGCTTTAGTAAAAGAAGTCTTTATTATTATTTAAAAGTTTAATTATTTAAAATATAGCTAATTTAAGTCTTTAAAAGTATATATTAATATATTAATAAAAGTTTAAACTTATATTACTTATTAATATTTTAAAGTATTAAAGGCTTAGTTTATAATTATAGCATTTATAAGCCTTAAATATATTAATAAGACTTAGTATAAGTATTAAATTATAAATTTTTATTAAGGTAAGAAGGTTAAGAAAGATAAACTTATTAAGTTTTTATATTTATAAGCCAACAAAGTAAAAATTTAAAAAAAAAATTTAATATTTTTAAGTTAGCCTACTTTTTTTTTTTATTAAATAATTAATAATAAAAAAAAGGTAAAAATAAGGCAAAGTTTAAATAATAATAAAAATTAAAAAGCTAAAATTATAATTATATTATTTTAGTAAATAAAAAGCTTTATATATTTAATACTTATTAAAGACTTTATTTTAAACTTTACTTAAAGGATTATTATTTTTAATTTTATTTAAACTTATAATAAGAATTTTATTTATAAAAATAAAAATTAAGTAATAAAAAAAGAGATAAACTTAAGCTTATAATAAAAAAAAGACTATTTAAAAATAACTTAAATATTATAAAAGTAAAATAATTATTTATTAATATAATAATTACTTTAAATATCCTTATTAAGCTTAATTTTTTTAAAAATAATAAAAATAATATTATTAAAATTATATAAAATAATACTTAAAATTATAACTTTATTATAATTAAATATAATATTAATTAAAAAAATATTATTATTAACTTAAATTATAACTTATACTATTTATTATATATAGCCTAGGTAGCATAGGGAAATTAAGGGGAATACCTAAGGAAATCCACTAGGGATTTCTATAGCACTTCCTAGGCATTTCCCTAAGATTTCTATAGGAATTCCCCCTCTATTATTTAGCTAGGAAGACTAGGGATTTTACTAGGAATTCCCTATATATATAGGCCTAGTAGCCTAAAGGAATAAAGCATGCTTTTTCTCTTCTTTAAACCTATACCTAATATAGTGCTTCTATCTAGTAACTAGTCCAGCAGCGCAGCCTAGCTATATAGTAATTAGCCTATTCTTATAATTTCCACAGCCTTTATATATTACTATTTTAATAACTTAAAGTAATTAATTTTTATTTAAATACTAAATAAAGCTAATATAATAGCTATATTTAATAAAAGTATATTAAAAATTAAAAAAATAAGTATTATAATTATCTTATTATTAAATAATAAAATAATTAAATTTAAGAATATTACTTATACTTTTTAAAGTATTATTAATATAATAAGCTTTAAAGTCCTTAAATAAAAAAATATTTAATATAACTTTATAAAATAATTACTTATATAATAGAAAAATAAAGTAATTATAATTATAAAAGTTAATTAAAAGTATAATATTATAATTTTAAAAATAATAATATTATTAATTAATAAATATTATAATTTTATAATACTTTTTATTAAATTATTAATTATAAATATAAAATATAATCTTATATATAAAAAACTAGGCTATATTAATAAAAAATAAGTTTTAAAAGCTTATTAATAATTAAAAATTTAAGTAAATAAAATAATAATTAAAGACTTTTATTATAAAGCTTATTATTTAGCTAAATTTAAATTTATTATTAATTATATATTATTAATTAAACTTATAAAATTTCTTTAAATTATTTTTTAAAATATAATTTTTTATATATTTAT